AACCTCTGCTCGGATGTAGCCTGTGGTAGCTCAGTAACCAATTGGTTTTTTCCCTAGTAAGGGGAACAGGGACTATTTCTGACAGGAACTCAATGGCAGGCTCTTTGACCTCCCCACCCCCCAAGGGAGGAGTGGTCCTGCTAGGCCACAGAGGAGGACTTTGCAGCCGGTCTTGAATACCTGATAAAACAGGGTCAGATGAAAGGGGAGGAGGTCCTCCCCAATCAGTGGACTTGGAAAGGGGCAGGAAGGAGATAAGGGAGGGAGGGTGGGACTGGGAGAGAATGAGGGAGCAGGATACAGCTGGGATACAGAGTTAATAAAATGTAACTAATAATACGAATAAAAAAAATAAATGTTATATCTATGAGTATTTGTAACCATAATAGCCATATGATGGTTGCAAAAGGGGAAAAACACACATAGTGGATAAAAAGAAAGCATCTTCAATAAATGGTTCAGGGAAAACAAGATGTCCACATGTAGAGGAGTGAAATTAGACTTGCATTACCATCTTACAAAGAAATCAGATTCAAGTAGATCCAAACCTCAATTTGAAACCTGAAACACTAAAGCTCCCAGAAACAATAGAAAAGAAAACATAGTCAGTACCTTACAAGACAAGGTGGAGGAAAAGATTTTCTGACTAGGACTCCATTGGCTTAATTATTAAGGCCAACAAGTGACAGGTGGGACTGGGTAAAATCTATACAACTAAGGAAAAGCCAAGTGAAGGAAAAAAAAAAAAAACTAGAAGTACCCGGAAAGATGTCTTACAAAATCTGGGAGACCTGAATTGTCAGCCCCAGCTACAGCACCCCGAAAAACAATCAGTCAGAATTGATGGGGAGAGACATCTTATGATAAATCAAACTTTATCAAAATTAATCAGTTTCTACAGAAGGTGCTAGAAGCAAAACGTCAGTCTGAAGAGGTTAGGTACACCCAAAAAATACATAGGGAAGAAATAATCCAGGGCAGGAAATCAAAAGAGGGAGAAAAACACCACACCGTAACAAAATAGCTGAGGTCAATAAACACTGAACAATGATAATTCTCAACCCTGATTTTCTTGATTGCTCAATAAAAAGACACAGACTAACAGATTGGATTTGAAAATGGGATGCCGTTTTTCTGACTCATCCATGCATCAAGAATAGGCATTACCTCAAGATAAAAAGATGGAAAAAAGGTATTCCAAGTAAATGCACACAAGAAGCAAGGAGGTGTTGGTGTGATCTATGATCTGTTATCAGACAAAATATACTTCAAACTAAAAAAAAAAAATTAGAAGAGATAATTAAGGACACTACATAGTCATTAGAGGAAAACTCCACTAAGATGGTATGGTAATTCTAAACATTTATATATGAAATATGGCGCACTCAGGTTTATTAAAGAAACACTACTGCAGTTAAAAATCTCATACTGACCCTCAGTCAGTGGTAGTGGGTGACTTCAATACCCCATTCTCACCAACAGACAAGTTTCCAGGCAAAACCTAAATAAAGAAAAGCTGGAGATAAATATCACAAATCAAATGAGCCTAACAGACTTCTACAGACTATTTCATCCAAATACAAAAGAAAATACTTTCTTCTTAGCAGCTCAGGGAACTTTTCCCAAAACTGACCACATACTTGGATACAAAGCAAATCTCAAAAGATACAAAAAAGCTGAACTAACACCAGGCATCCTATCCTGACTACCATAGATAAAAGATGGATATCAACAATGACAGAGATACAAGAGTTTATACAGAAAGCATAAAAACTCATGGAAACTAACTCAACACTGAATGAAAAATGGGTCAGACAGATAGAAAAAAACAATTAAAAACTGTTTAATGGAAGTGAAAATGCAACATACCCAAGCCTATGGGACTCAATGAAAGATGATGTAAGAGGGAAGTTCATAGTACTATTTGCCTACACACACACACACACACACACACACACACACACACACACACACACACA